GTCGGTTACATGCCATGACATAAAGTCATGTAGATTTTACAAAGCGATACAAAGTGAGATAAAGTGTTAAGTACTACTAAAATGTACTATAACAACTGAATCTTCCGCTTCGATTGACTTGAATTAAGGTTGTAGGAAACCTCTAGCCACGTCCACCTAGGTTTCCACGTCCTCGGTTTCCTCTACCAAGAATTGTTAGTTGCCATTGCATCTCCCTAGCCTTTGTGATGGTTTAACATGCCTTTCGCGAAGCATTCTTTTACCTGAAAGTGTCATAAGATCCATACAATCACACTCTTTGTCTAAATCTGAAGAATCCTCTTTTTCTTTCAAAGAAGTCAATGATGCAAACTTATTTCTGAACATTTTTCTCCACTTTTCCTGTGAACCGAAGAGTGTACAAGAGCAATAGTAGGGGTGGTGACTAATAAAGTTGCAGCAATCTCCCGTAAAGGAGACTCAAGTCTTGGTGGCACAATAGCCTCTATTGGATGTGTTGAAGAAACTATCACATTTTCTACTTCTAAGAACGTACTTAGTGCAATTCCATCTTCCATGATATACTACTAACATTTTCTTTTCCTTTCAACAATAATCATTATATATTATGGGTTTCAAGCAATGTTTTAAATGTCGTTAGGCGTTAATCGGGTGGTCGAGATTGACCTCGTAATTAGTCAATTATTCGGAGATTAAACAGAGATTAAGTGGAAATTGGTTTTATGACTACTAAAACAATTTTTAGGATTATAAAATATTTATGTTAACTATTTCCTTGAAAGCATTTTTATATCGTCAATTTGTTAAGTTCGAAGGTGAGAGATGTATTTTTCGCGTTCTTTCTATTGAACTTAAACATTTACGTTCCATATTCTTCTTTTTGCATTCAAAACCTACAACCCTAATCAATGGTGGCCTTTGACTTTTTTCGATTTATGCATTGTTTTCTTTCGTTTTTTTTATGTTACAGCTTTCTCAACCATGTTTTGTTTGTTTGTTCATGTTTTTATTTTTTAAAACAATTATTCTATATGATTTTAAAAGTTGTAAGACTTTTTTTACAGCAAAAAAAAAAAATCTACAACTACAACATAAAAATCTACCGACTAAATTTTTCAACAATTAATCTACAACTACATCCGAACCAATTAACCACTACATATCACTTGCTTTAAGACTTTTAATGAACAAAAAAACAATGTTTTCATCTTGGCCAAATATTTTGGCCGACTATGGGCCGTCGAACAATTTTCCTGCTAGTAAATGCTCTCCACAACCGTGTTTCAGAACATGAGTTTCGAATAATGATACGAT